TCAACGGCCCTTCCTGATCCCTAACGCTCAGTGGGCCTCCATGGCTGGCTCCCAACAGGTTTTTTGTTGTTTTTTTTTTTTGAGTTGGGGGATCTTGCTTCATTGCCCAGGCTGGAGTACAGTGGCACAATCACAACTCACCACAGTCTTCACCTCCTGGGCTCAGGTGATCCTTCTACCTCAGCCTCCCAAGCAGCTGGGACCACAGGCATACACTACAACACCTGGCTAATCATTTAAAAATTTTCTTATAGAGACAAGATCTTGCTCTGTTGTCCATACTGGTCTTGAACTCCTGGGCTCAAGAATTCCTCTTGCCTTGGCCTCTCAAAAGTGCTGGAATCATAGGCATGCACCATTGCACCAAGCCAAATCTGTGACTTTTTAATGCCTGCTTATTTCACTTGGACTTGGGAGACTGTTGTCCTGATGCCCGCCTTTGTCAGCAGATGAAGCCTGCCTTGGTGCTTTGGAACTGCTCCTTGCAGTCAACCTGTTCTGGGATGGTGTTTACTCTTGACCTTGGTCATGGGGGAAGATGGGGATGGGGTGGTGGTGGTGGTGGAAGTGTGTGTGTGTGTGTGTGTGTGTGTGTGTGTGTGTGTGTGTGTGTGCATGAACACATGTGGACAAACCCCCCAAGTGGAGTGACTGAAGGCCAGAGGTGAAAAAAGGGAACCACTGCACTATAAGTGGCTTCAGCTGACCTGTTGCACCTCTTGTATCTTTTTCCCTGAAGGAACGAACTTCTCCTGCATCTGAAGACCTACAACTTGTACTATGAAGGCCAGAATTTGCAGCTCCGACACCGAGAGGTAAGGAGTGCCTAGGGAAAGCCTGTGAGTCTCCTGCCCTGAGTGGGTCATGGTCAATTTGTGTCCTGGATCCGAGGGTCCCGGAGGTTCCTAGAGGTCCCCACTTCTTCTTCCACAGTCAGTGACCTCTCATTTAAGATGTTACTGAGAATCCTTGGGGTTCCCTGGAAAGAAACGCCAGGCCAAGTTTTATTCTAAAAAGGATGCATTTGTCTGTTCCAGAGAAATGCCTGTGAATGTGTGGCTGGGCTGGCACAGCCTCAGAGGGGACAGTCTCCAGGGAGGGCTTCAGGAAATGACTCACATGACTCCCAAGTAGGAGTCTTCTTTTTGGGCAGTTCAGGAAATTTCCCCAGTCCTTTGTGTTTCCCTAGGCACCTGTGCAGCATATAAGCTTTGGGTGCTTTTCACAGCCCAACGCTGCCATAACATGCCATTCTCTGAGTGAGGCCACAGCTGCAAGCCGTCTTCTGAGGCTGCCTTCTTGAATGCCCTTTGATATCCATCTGACGTTCCCCAGCCCCCATCCTGAATCTAAGCTTACTCCTCCTGTATCCATTTCTGTAAAGTCTGTTATCAGATAGATGGGGAGTTTTAAGGAGTCTGGTAATTTATACTCAAGCATTCTTGACTGATAAGAGGGTACATACGTGTAGTACCTTCAAAACACATTTTCAGGGTGTTGGCCATGGCAATTTAACCCATGGAAGTAGATAGAAGAGGGTAGAATATCAGCTCCTAAGGCAGGCTAGTTGGGGACAGTAGGTGGGATGTGGTGGCCTTTTCTGTGTTCTTCGAACCAGTCTACTTAGGCAAGGTCCTATTCTGGGTTAAATTCTGTCCTATGGTCCTGTAAAGCAATGGTGCTCTCCTTGACCAGCTGGAAGGCCATATATGTACAGCTGATGCTTCCATAAAGCCTCTCTCCCCCAGGAGTCCCAAATGTCCTAAAATTGTTCCATTTCTCTCTTGCCCTTTTTTCTTCCATCCTCCATCTCTAAGGATGATCCTGGGACCCAGGTTAGTTGTTTATTGAGCAGATGTCATTTTTACCTACGGGGCTTGTCCTGAAGATGTGGCCATGACCCAGCATGGGTTCAGAAGGGTTTTCTGAGACTGGGGAGAGGAGGCCTGACCCTTTTAGGCACTGTCTTTGAGGTTTCCACTAATTAACGGTTGTGTCAGTGAGCAAGATATTGGTCCTTAAATAGCTTTCCTGGGGTACGTCCTATAAAATAAATCCTCAAAGTTCTCCATAATTAAAGGGTTTCATGCTCATGCATGAGATCCACTTCTTTGGGATGGAGTGTGTAAATGCCCTTAGAACGATTTTATATTTAACTTATTATTCAGCAACCTTTGAGTACAAGTTAGGATCTCTTGCAGGACCTATTCACCTCTGGGAGAATCTTCATATAGCACATTAGCTTATTATAGGCTCTGGGGCATTCTGCTGTTAGGAAATCTGATTAGCACAGCCTCTCTCAGCTCACAATCACTTGACACCCTATTAAAGGCAACAGTTCAACTGATAGAGGAGCTGGTATTCTATGGAATAAACTTGGGGAAATGTTGCTTTAAATCTTCTTCCACCAGTGGGTCAGCTTGCTAAACATACTTCATAGCTCAAGATACTTCACTTTCTATAGTAGGGGAAGGGAAAGCAGCGAACTCAAGAATTAAGTCCTTGCTTCTGTCAGCAAGGCTAGTCTCACTTATTTTAGGAGATATATTCTGCTTTCTTTAAAGCTCATTGGTATAAACATGAAATGTTTTTTATAACTTGCACACGTATATTTGAATTTCAAGGCAACTTTTGTGCTGACCTGTGAGGTTAGCTGCAGGCTCAGCGGTAGTTTACAGTAGAGAGTGTCTTAGACCTGGGATGTGGACTGGGCAATCCTGGGAATACAGTCTTAGTGCACCACCCAGCTGGGACCCATGAAGGATGCTGCCATTCGTTTCCCAGTGTGGTCCTGGCTTCTGCGGGGCTTTCCTGGGCTCACACCAGCCGATTGCTTTGGGGGCAGGAAGAAGACGAGTTCATCGTGGAGGGGCTGCTGAACATCTCTTGGGGCCTGCGCCGGCCCATTCGTCTGCAGATGCAGGATGACCGTGAGCGCATCCGGCCCCCTCCATCCTCGTCCTCCTGGCACTCCGGCTGCAACTTGGGGGCTCAGGGGTGAGTGAGGCGTGATGGGGCTGGGAGGTGACTGGGGTACCGGGGGGTTCTGTGTGTTCTCAAGCAGACAGATGCCACCTTCCCCTCCAGTCTTGGCCCCAGCTCCTGTTTCTACCATGTCCACCGCCCACCTACTTTGGGTTTGGGATTAGAAGAAAAGGGCAGATGCTTGTGCAGTCGGGCCTCCATCCTGTCATCAGTCACCAAGTAAAGTCACAAAGAGGAGGGGATCTGCTGAGTCAGAGAGGGAGCACCCTGCACACCAAGGCTGAGGTGACAGCGTATCCTCCTTCCTGGAGAATTCTGGAGTCCCTGAGAGGGGCTGCTAGTGACTGGCTAAGCCTAGCCTGCGGGTTTCTGACAGGACACCCAATGCCCCAGTGTCATCCCCATTGGGACCATTCCTCCTGCAAAGGACCCGCTCCAGAGACACTAAGGCTTGAACCTTTTTTTTTTTTTTTTTTTTTTGAGTTGGAGTCTCACTCTGTCGCCCAGACTGGAGTGCAGTGGCCGCTCCCGGCCACCGCAGCCTCGACCTGCTGGACTCCAGCGATCCTTCTGCTGCAGCCTTCCGAGTAGCCGGAATTACAGGCGCGCGCTACCACGCCCGGCTGATTTTTTGATTTATTGTAGAGATGAGGTCTCGCCTGCCTAGGCGAGTCTCGAACCCGTGGGCTCAGGCAATCCACTCACCTCAGCCTCCCAAAGGCACAGGATTACAAGCAGAGCCACCAAGCCCGGCTGGCTTGAACCTTCTAACCTAAGCTCTTTGAGGCTCGGGGGAACCTGGAAGTGGAAATACAATGTCAGATCATGTCAGCCAATCAGGTGAGGTCAGCCAGGGGTCTGCTCCCTTCAGACCACACCTAGAGCCAGATCGCAGCAGCATGGCCAGTAGTCTGGGAAGTCCTCTCCTCTGGGTCCCCACCTGGAGGCCTGGGAGGACCTAGCTGGTTCCTTCCCAACCCTGGTGGCCAGATAAATCATTGACTGCATCTAGTAAGGCACACCCTTTTTATTGTGTTTCTGAGACTTGAGTTTTAGGATCAAGTGACTTGCTTTGTTCTGTCCTGAAACTTGCTGATGCTGACTGTCTTCAGGCCAGAGCCTGGGTGGAGTGTGCTGGCCTCTCAGCCAAAACCACAGTGATTTTTTTTTTAGTTTACACGAGAACCAAGCCCTTTCTGTTGGCCACATTGAACGTTTTGTTAAACTCCACAGCCAAATCCATCTGTCTCTAGAATTGAGAGAAACCTGCAATGTGGCCAAACCCTGGAGCTGATCTGGTTTCCGTCCAAGGACATTTAAGGAGGAACGTTGTTGCCTGTCCCATTGGGTGCTGGGCTGTCTGGTCAAGGTTCTTTGGTTTCAGCTAATTTCGCTGGTTCCACATTCTACTTTGCTTTTGGAACTATCACTGTATTTGATTAAATTTTATTTGACTTTGTGGTCTTTGGCTGGTGCTGCTCAGAGGTCCTTCACTGTGTATAATCATTTGTGCTCCCTTCCCTGTGGCATCAAGCTGGGCTTGGTTGGCCTTTGAAACGTGCAAAATACTTTGAGAACATTTTCAGGCATGATAAGTGATGTCATCCAGATACCAGTTATATAAAGTGAATACTGGGGCCACTGTGTTAAGAAGGATGCTGAGTTTCTGCTTTGGCAAGAAAGAGGTTTTTGGACCAGGGAGTGGGAAAGGGACACTATGGTGCCAAGAGCTCCCTGCTCTCGAGAGGCTCTGACGAGATCCCTTCTGGGTCTATGAGTTAGATTATACTAGGAAGTTCTTTCAGATTTTCTATGTCAGTTATCTTCTCTTGCAACTATCATTCCCAGAACACGAGACCTATCACTATTGGAACCCAGAAAGCCCATGCTCTTCTCACCATGGGACAGTCTTAATTGGTCAAGTATGATCCTTCTTTGCAGCCAAATCCTCTGTTGGTTTGGGGTGTTTCCCTGAGCTGCTCCCATTGTCCTTACCGTGATCATGACAAACCCAGGTCTCAACTCAGACTTCTTGCTTATGGCTCTTTCTCCAGCTTGGCTGAGGACTCTGTCCTCGTGATCCTGAGAACCCTGTCCTCAGTGCTCCTTCCAAAGTTCCCCCGATTCTTGCAACTACCCAGCCTATTACTTTCCATTCCTTTTAGATGCCAGAAGCAATCTATGAGTTATTCCTCCAACTAAAATAGTTCTGAACTGGAACTCTGTCCTGCAGAACAAATGGCTGTTATTAGCATTTTCCAAATAAGCCCCAGAGCCCATACGTGCTTAGAAACTCAGTGTAGGCAACACATGGGTTTTGTTTTCTGGGGTTCTCCATCCTGGGCTTGATGAATCGGGTACTTGTGTTGCTGCAGATGCTGGGAAAGAACATCTTCTCTCCCCCAAATCTGCCTCCCCCTCCACTGCTCAGCCTGGGAGCTGGGCCAGCCTCAGATCCTTTGTTGCCTGATGTGTATGGGTACCCAGCTTGGCACGAGCAGAGTGCTCTCCTTGAAGGGTGGGGTGGGACAGGAGTGGGGCCATCTCCCCACAGAAGCTAATTTGATCTCCTTTTTGTTTGTCTTCCACCCCCTCAGCACCATCCTGAAGCCCCTCACCATGCCCAACATTCAGATCTCAGAGGTGGACGCGTCGGCTGAGAGCGACCCGACTCCGAGCCCCACAGGTACACACACTGTGGAGAAGCCTCGGGTGAAGTGCCCACTGTGTAAAGATCTCTCTGATAGATGTTGTAAACTATTATTTATTTTTGAGAGTAAACAATTTGCATGGTTCAAAATTCAAAAGGTAGACCAGATGCAGAGGCTCATGCCTGTAATCCCAGCACTTTGGTAGGCTGAAGTGGGAGGACTTCTTGGGACCAGGAATTAAAGACTAGCCTGGGCACCATAGTGAGACCTTGTCTCTACAAGAAATTGAAAAAAAAAATTAATTGAATGTGGTGGCACATGCCTTCTAGTCCCAGTTACTCGGGAGGCTAGGGTGGAAGGATCACCTAAGCCTAAGAAATCGAGGCTGCAGTGAGCCGTGATAATGCCACTGCAGTCAAGCCTAGGTGATGGAATGAGACTGACTCAAAAACAAAACAAAACAAAAAACCAAAAGGTATTAAAAGGAAGTAATTAAAAGTCACTCACCTCATCTACCCATCTAGAAGCAACCCTAGGCCATCCTTCCCAGATAGTCCATGCAAATTCAGGTAAATATACACCAACACACCTTTATGGATGGATATGAGTTCTCTTCTTCTCTTTTTATACCAGTGGTAGCATTTTGCACATTATTGTTTCCATTGACCAGTTTATCTTGGGGATTGTGCCATATAAACCTATAAGGAGCCTCCTCATTCTTTGCAGCTCTTGTTTTATTCCATTGTATGGAAAAAATGATGATTGAATTACTCCCTATTGATAATACTTAAGTCCTTTGCAATCTTTGGTGTGACAAGCTTGCAGTCTTATATACACGTTAGATCATGCATTTGTCAGTGTGTCTGCAGGATTTTGGGTTTGAGCCTACATGTGCTAGCAATTTTGATAGATGTTGTCAGTTTGCAAAATCTTTTTTAATATAACATGGGTTAAATATATTTGAATAAAAACAGATCAACCTACTTGTGCTTCACAAATGATTAATGTCAGTATTTAATATTTAGTACTGTATGCAAAGAGAGAACGATGTCATGGAATTCCTGTATATTTATATGTATATGCTCTATTAAGAATTTTTTTCAATTTTTTATTGTGGTAAAATACACATAACATAAAACTTACCATATCAGCTGTTTTTAAGTATATAGTTCACTGGTATTACATACGTTCATATGGTTGTGCAACCATCACCACCTTCCATCCCGGAGCTTTCTTGATCTTGTAAAACTGAAGCTCCATCCCCATTAAAATTATTATTATGTCATTTTACAGGTTAAAAAAAACAGAGGCACAGAGAAGTTAGTGATACGTGGTAATAGTGGAGCTGGGATTTGAACCCAGGGAGTCTGGCTCTGTAGTCTGTGTACTGAACCTTTTCACTGTATAACTTCTCAGTAAATTATGCATTATGTTTTTCCCTCAGAAGAAAGTAAGTTTTTTTTTTCTTTCTTTTTTTAGTGATGAGGTCTCTCTTTGTCACCCAGACTGGAGTGCAGAGGCACAGTTGTAGCTCACTGCAGCCTCAAACTCCTGGGCTCAAGCAATTCTCCTACCTCAGCCTCCTGAGTGGCTGGGACCACAGGTGTCCCCATGTCCAACCCAGAAAATACTATTTTTATAAAGTATATATATACACATACACACTTTTTTTTTTTTTTTTTTAGGCAGTGGGTGCTATAGCATTGGCCACAAAGAAGGGACCACACGTAAAGTGCCACGTCCCGGGTTCGTTCAGACAGACAGAGCTTATTTCCCGATTTCTTTTCAGACTCCAGGGGCCTGAGGCCTCTACAGGAAGACACCCCACAGCTGATGCGCACACGTAGTGATGTTGGGGTGCGTCGCCGTGGCAATGTGAGGACACCCAGTGACCAACGGCGAATCAGACGCCACCGCTTCTCCATCAACGGCCATTTCTACAATCATAAGGTAGAGTGGATGGAGGGTGGAGAAAGGGGACAAGACCCCTTCTTCGGCAGCTGCCACTTGAGAGCTATAGCCATGTAGTCCGTGGTGGGACACCTGGGAAGCCCGGTGGTTGCTGATTAGTCTCTGGGTGGGTGGGCTGCAAGCTCTGCTAGCTTCCTGAGGGCTGAGGAGACCCAGGTGGGAAGGCTCAAACCTACTAGGGGCTCCCCCTAGGGTGATGGGTGAACTCAGTGCTATAGCCTTCAAGACCCTATAAATACATCTCATCAATCCCCCCCGGCAAATCAATGCATTACCTCTCTTCTTGCACACTGTGCCTCCCGGCTGATACACAGGCTGGCTTTTCCCTGAGCTGAGGGCTTTCTCTGAAGCAGGGCTGTGGGTTTTGGATCTGGGGGTGTCAGTGCACACTCCCTATCCCAAGCTAACTGACCCCTCCTTTCCTCCTGGTGCTTGGTTCAAATCCCACACCCCAAGGCAAGTGCATAGTGAGAGAGTAGTCAGCATCCTCCTTGTGGTGAAGTCTCAGGGAAGGGTGTTTGTGGATGTTTTCCTTGGAGAGTGGGCCTCACTTATCTGGCCCTATTCCTCTTCCTAACCCTGCCATTGGGCAAGCTCAGACCTGAGCAGGGACTAAATGATTTAGGCAAACCCAGGGCTGCTTTATCTACAAAGACCGCTCCTTGCCAGGTGGCCGGGGATTCTCGGGGAGTCCATTTTGAGTACCGTTGTCACTGTGCCCTGTGCCACACCTGGGTTTTAGTATTCCGTTCTTGTTTCCACTCTCATCCTGAGCTGGATCCCTCTATTGACAGACATCAGTGTTCACGCCGGCTTATGGCTCCGTCACCAACGTCCGCATCAACAGCACCATGACCACCCCGCAGGTCCTGAAACTGCTGCTCAATAAATTTAAGGCAAGTTCCCTTTGCTGGCTGGCCACAGATGAGGTCACACGTGTGTGCCCTGGGACCCCAGAGGGGGAGCTGTGGAGAGGGTATGATTCGGGGGTGATGGGCAGAGGGCGTGGGTTCTTTAGACTCACTTTTCAAAGCAAGGTCTACAGCATCAGCACCACCTGGGAGCTTGTCAGAAAAGCAGATTCTCAGGCCCTGCCCCAGACCCGCTGAATCAGGAATACTGAGGGTGCAGCCAAGGAACCCGTTTAACAAGGCCTGCAGGGGATCTGATGCCTGTTGAAGCTTAAGAAACACCAGTCCCTAGGTCCTTTATGGGCTACTATAGAGGGACCCTGGGGCCTGCTGACTGTTATGGGTTCGGTGTACAGATTGACTTCTGAGACACAGTTGGGGAACCTTCTTTGAAAAATGGTATTTAAATAGATGTGCAAATTATAGTGCATGAGGGCTTTAAAGTCCTGTTACACTATGCTCTCCACAGTCTCCTTGTAATTCTCTTGGAGAACAGGTTTTCTTATTAGTTTATTGTTTTGAGTCAGGGGTCTCACTCTGTTGCCCAGGCTGGAGTACAGTGGCATGAGCATAGCTCACCACAGCCTCAAACTTCTGGGCTCAGGCAATCCTTCTGCTTAAGCCCTCACTCCCCCAGGTAGCTGGGACTGCAGATGTGCACCACCACACCTGTCTAAATTTTTGATTTTTTTTGGTGGGGATGAGATCTTGCTATGTTGCTCAGGCTGGTCTTGAACTCTTGGGCTCAAGCAATCCTCCCACCTCAGCCTCCCAAAGTGCTGGGATTACAGGCATAAGCCCCATGCCTGGCCAAGTTATTCTTATTTTTAATGAAAGCCAGTGTAGCTTAGCAGTCTAAGAACACAGGCTCTGAGTCCAAATCTCCATCTACCACTTGCTAGTTGGACGAATTTGGCAAGTTAATTCATCTGCCTGTGCTTCTGCCTCCTGATCTATAAAATGAGGATAATGGGACCTTGTTATAGTATAGTCTTGAGTATTAGATGAATTACATGTAAAATATGTAGAACCAGGGCTGACATATTGCAATAAATGTTGGCTATTACCTATTACAGTCACATATGTACAATATAACATTTCAGTCTATGACAAATTAAATATGTGGTGATCCTTTAAGATTATAATACTGGCCAGGCGTGGTAACTGAAGCCTTGTAATCCCAGCACTTTGGGAGGCCGAGGCAAGAGGATTGCCTGAGTCCACGAGTTCGAGACCAGCCTAGGCAACATGGCTGGCTAATTTTTTTATTTATCGTCTCTACAATAAATAAAAAAATTAGCCAGTCATTGTAGCACGTGCCTGTAAGTTCCAGCTATTTGGAAGGCTGAGGCAGAGGGATTGCTGGATCCCAGCAGGTTGACGTTGGGGTGGCTGTGAGTGTGCCACTGCACTTCAGCCTGGGTGATGGAGTGAGACTCCAACCAAAAAAAAAAAAGATTTGTACTGTATCTTTTTGATGTTTAGTTAGGTTTAGATATACAAATACTTACCATTGTGTTATAATTCCCTGCAGTGTTCAGTATAGTCACATTATGTACAGCTTTGTAGCCCAAGTGCAGCAGGCAATACCATGCAGCCTAGGTGTGTAGTAAGCTTGTGTGAGTACAAAAACCACTCTGTGTTGGTTGCACAACAATGAAATCACCTAAGGACACTTTTCTCAGAATGTTTCGTTAAGTGACACATGGCTGTATCACTGATAAAGTTATCTCCCTAGCCCATCTCCTCATCACTTCTAAGAGTTGTAGGTAAATAGCTATCCCCCCTAAAGAGCCTAAAATTTATTTAGTTTTGCAGTGTTGAAGATGAGGGAATGACTCAAAATTAGGATGCATAACTATATGCTTTCAACAAGTCTCTTTTGCTCCTGACTCAGATTGAGAATTCAGCGGAGGAGTTTGCTTTGTACGTGGTCCATACCAGTGGTGGTGAGTCTGAAGACCACAATGTACTTTAAAACTTCTAATTAACTCAAAATAGCAAAGTTAAATAAAAAATACCTCTGCCTCATTCTCTTGTTGTTTGGGTTTTGGAAACTTCCAGATGTTGTTTTGTCTCCAGGGTGGATGGGCTTGCTGGAGGAGTCCACTGGGGAAGGCTTTATATGGTCAGTGAACAAACCTGGCACCTAACTGCCTATTAAAAAAGGAACTAGAGATTCCTGCGAGACAGATAAACCCAATTCCTGCCGGGCTCGGTGGCTCAGCCTGTAATCCCGCGGCTTTGGGAGGCTGAGGTGAGTGGATTGCCTGAGCCCGCGCGTTAGAGACCCGCCTGGGCAACGAGACCTCATCTCTACAATAAATCAAAAAATCAGCCGGGCGTGGTAGCGTGCGCCTGTAATTCCGGCTACTCGGAAGGCTGAGGCGGAAGGATCGCCGGAGCCCAGCAGGTCAAGGCTGCGGTGGCCGGAAGCGGCCACTGCACTCCAGTCTGGGCAACTGAGTGAGACTCCAACTCAAAAAAAAAAACAAAAACCCAATTCCTCCAAAGGGTTTGAGGCATGATAGTATTTTGTGGGGGAGGGGAATGGGAAGTCTCTTGACTTGTACGACCACATCTCCTAAGGTGTCTGGTCCATTGGAGCCCCTGCATTGACCACTACTTAAGATGAGAAGGGCCTCTGGCTGGACTCAGAGCTGCTTCTGGTTGTGTGTGCTTGCAGAGAAACAGAAGCTGAAGTCCACAGATTACCCCCTGATTGCCCGAATCCTCCAAGGTCCATGTGAGCAGGTCTCCAAAGTGTTCCTTATGGAGAAGGACCAAGTGGAGGAAGTCACCTATGATGTGAGTCCCCTGTGGGTTGGGTGGCTGGTCCTCAGAAGGATGGGGATTTGATTAGGTTACCTTCGTCTGGGGTATAGCATGACTTTTTGACCAAGGAGCATACCCCCTTTTAATGTCATTCTTCAAAATCAGGCTTTCTTAAAGGTTGAGGGTGTGCCCTGTGGGGGTGTTGGAGGAATGCTTAGGCAGAAAAGGAATAAATTTCTTTTTTTTTTCTTTTTTGAGTTGGAGTCTCATCTGTTGCACAGGCTGGAGTGCAGTGGCACGTTCATGGCCACCGCAGCCTGGACCTACTGGGTTCAGGTGATCCTTCTGCCTCAGTCTTCTAAGTAGCTGGAGCTACAGACATGCACCACCACGCCCCGCTAATTTTTTTATTTATTGTAGAGATGAGGTCTGGCCAAGTTGCTCAGGCTGATCACGAACTCAGGCAGTCTTCTCACCTCAGCCTCCCAAAGTGCTGGGATTATAGGCATGAGCCATCATGCCTGGCCAAGAATAAATTTCTTGAGCCTTTCTAGGGTACTATAAGAGGACTGAGAAGTTTCTGCAAGTCTTTCAGCAACATCAAGGAGTTAGCAGTGTATCAGTCAACTTTTGCTACAGTAACAAACATCTCCAAATCTTAGTAGCTTATAACAACTAATGTTTACTTTTTTGCTCTTGATTCTGTGAGTTGGTAGCAGTGGCTTTACTCTAGGCTGTGGGTTAAATTTGAGTGTGTCTCATTCAGAGGCCAGGGCTCTAGGGGCAGTGACTTCTTCTCAAGGGGTGCTCCTTATGGCTAATAGTGGAGTGCAAGAAACCAGACCAACCCATGCAAGCACATTTGAAACCTCCATTCAGATTTGATGTATGCCATGTCCACACACATTCCATTGACCAAAGCAAGTCACATAGCCAAGCCCAACTTCAATAGGGTGGAGAAATATACTTCTCCCATGGAGGAGAGGTGATAGAGAGGGGGTTGTGGTGGAGGGAAAATAGCCATTTTTAAAACTTTAACTCACCTGGAGCCACCCACAGCCTCTTTGAAGCAAGTTCACATTTGGATGCCTGTTAGAGCATTGAGACCCATGGTTCTGTACGTTTTCTTAGGGGAGAGCAAAGAGGTTTATTCAATATCATGGGTTCAGTTCTTTCTTGGCATCACTATATCAAGAGAAAGTGCTTTCCCACATTTAACGTCACCATGTCCTAGACTGGATACATGAGATAAACATGAAAAGCTATGAGACAATGTCATATAAATGAAGTGACCATCATCACAGACTCTGTGCCAGCCTTGAGAAGAACGAGGCTTGGCCCCTCCCTTGAAGACAATTCAGGGTTAATGGAAAAGTGTATTTCCTAAGGCTTTGTGCCTTGCATGAGAGTGATGCCAAAGGGAATTGGAGTAATGCCAGGATGGGCATGCATCCCAGACTTGCTCCTTTCTCCCCAGGTGGCCCAGTATATCAAGTTCGAGATGCCCGTGCTCAAAAGCTTCATTCAGAAGCTCCAGGAGGAAGAAGATCGGGAAGTAAAGAAGCTGATGCGCAAGTAAGCGTGGCCTCTGGGGTGCTGGTGGCCTCTCTTTGGGACCTCCAGAGAGGGGTCTCTGCCAGGCGCCTTGCAAGGACTGTGCTGCGTGGCCACATGGGCCTGGTCTTCTGGGCCTTTTTCGGGGGGGCTGCCCACAGACAGATCTGGATCTCAGATAGGGACATAAGACTTAAGTGTGTTGTCTCTCTACTTCTCATGTCAGCTTCTCATTTTGATGTGAACTGTCAAAATGTCTTTTGTTCCCCTTTTTATGGAAGGACTCTGAAAAGAAGGTGTTAGTGTAACATTTATTTGGGGTCTAGATTCAGAAATGGGGGAGGTGATTTCATCCTGGTGTCCTAAACGTATGATCTGGCTCCCAGCAGGAAACATGTGCCCACTCTGATGAGGGTCCTTGAGGAGCATTGGATGAAGGGACTATTTCCAAAGTCTTGGGCGGAGTCTGGGGTAAACTCAAGGGATGGCACACCCCTCAGCCCGGGGCTAGTGGCACCCCCACTTGTCTGAGGGGTGAGGGCAAAAAGTGCTAACCAAGACCCAGCAGTCTCAGGATTTCAGGAAGGTTGTCTTAGCAGTGCATGTAGTCTGAACTACCTACTTCTAAAATCCTTTCTTCTCATCCTTCTTCCCTGTTTTTCTCTTCTGGAAATTTCATTTGGGTTGAAAAGTCCAGTGAAGCTTTTTTCTGGGGAGAATTTTATGTATTTTTTTTTTTTTTTTGCCATGTTTAATTATAGAATAGACTGATTTTCATAGATATGGTAGGGTGAGTGATTTTTCGCCTCTGGAGACTAAAGCCAGTGCTGCATGTGTTTTATGGATGATAATAACTAGTATGATAGCAGTTAACATTTATATTGAACACTGACTATGGCCTAAATTTTAAAAGCCTTTACTGTGCAGTGCAAAGCCCTAAACATAAAGGTTGTGTCCCCTTAGGCCTGCATAGTAGTGCTCATTCTGGTAGCTGCAGTGCCACCGTTCAGGAAAGTCTTGGGAAGCCTGAATTCACCCATCAGCCGTGGACTTCCATGCCTACTTGTTGCTGTGGCCTCTGGGGCCAAATGCAGGCTCTGATATAAGGTTAAACCATAGGAAGTTGTCATTTCTGTCAGTTCTCCCAAAAGGATCAATTTCACATAGTCCAGTCTAGGTGAGTAATGAGCTACTGTGCATATAAAGTGCTATGCAGAGTGTCTTGGGCAGAGTCAGCACTCAGTTCATAGAAACTTTATTATTGTTGTTTTTGTTGTTTCTACCTTTACATCTGTCTTTTGCCAGATGTTCTAACCTTAGTAAAATAATCTAAGCTGGATTTGGCCTCTTTATTCCTTCTCGTTCTGTTGTGAAAATGAACACAAGCAACAAAGTGACTAAAGAGTGGGCAAGTCATGGAAGTAAAGGGGCAGGAGACTCACTGTTACCTGATGTGACTTTGGTGTTACCTGACATTACCTGGTGTTACCTGATGTTACCTGGTATTACTTGGTTTTACCTGTTGTTACCTGATGTTGCCTGGTGTTACCTGGTGTTACTTGGTATGACCTGGGTGGCCAGGAAGATCATTGCTCTTCCCCAAACCTATTTCTTGTCCCCAGGTACACCGTGCTCCGGCTAATGATTCGGCAGAGGCTGGAGGAGATAGCCGAGACCCCGGCAACAATCTGAGCCACAGAATGAGGGGATCCAGACACCCCAGGAGCCACATTGACCTGAGAAGACCCAGAGGAAGCTGCGAGCCTTCTTTCCATGGAAACATTCAGATACAAATCTCTCTATCTCTGGGCAAACCTTCACTAGTTCCCTTGAGCAGGACAAAGAAGTCAGCAGACAACTCAGCTCACCATTCCTGGATCCCTGCTCGAGTTTCCTTCACTCACAAGGACTGTTGATTTTTAAGGAGGGCACGAAATGTATGTTTGTGTACACACATACACACATGGTACATGTTCAGGTGCCTATCTGATGTTTTCACATGTACTTAAATTCCGAGCAACCTGCACTAGTGCCATGGAACAGCCATATGTCTGCCCATGGCTAGAAGGGGAAGGGGTTCTTCATGCTCACCATTTGAAGGATTTATGTGTTAGTAGAAATTCTCCTTGTATGCCTAGAAGGACCGATCAGTGGATGAGAGATTCTTGGAAATTAACAAAGTAACAGCCCCATACCCTTGGGGAAAGGAAAAGATAAATTATCATAGGGTTGAAATAAGCCCACAAATTTTTACACTGGAAACTTTGATCGTTTTAAGTCACCAGTGTGATGTATGTGATGTTGTGTGAACACCTTTAAAGAATGGATTCTGCCTCTATCCCTGCCTCCATGGCCACCTCTAGGAGACAGAGACAGAAGAGAGCCTGCCTGCTTCTCTCTATGCACGAGCTGCTGACCCATCGCTCTGGGCTTCCTTGAGTCAAAGGAAAGGTCCCATGAAACAAATGTCTCACTGGTGTGTGTATGGTGTTGACCAGTCAGCATGGCTAGGGCCTGGCTTGTTCTAGAATAGTGGCCAGGAATTTCCAAACTCCCTCCTGAAAGGGAAGTGTCAGGGCTATCTGCAGAAATGACAGGTGTCTTGAGTCCAGCCCATCTTCATGTCATCAAGGGTCTTCCTGCAGTTGGAACTGGGACCTTGTGTTTGAAGTCAGTGTTATTCCTTCCAACCTCTGGGTCTTGTGGGCTGCCCTCACCCTTGTGTGTGGAGATGGACTCCAAGAATAAGACCTCATCCTGCTGCTGACTCAGCACAGGGAAGCTCTGTAGACCACCCTGTGAAGGTGCATGGGGATGACGGAGCTTTTCTCTCAGCTTCTCTGAGCAGCCACCCAGGTGATGGTTAGAGGCAATGCTGGTGCGGGGAAGGGGCAGAGACAGTCTGTCCCCGTGACCCCATTGGGAAGATTGCATCAGTATGGCGGACACAGTTTGAAGGGACAAGCAGATGCTTGGAGCTGGGTACCTGACTGTGGAGATCAACCAAGCAACACCAGGAGCTCCTAACAGCAGATGTCTCTGAGCCTTTCCGGGGCAGAGACCTTCCCCATCTCTTCGTGTTCTCTTCAAGGAAGGTTGGCAGAGCCGGGCACTTGGGGCAAGGGGAGCCACTGGGTGGTGCTGCCAAAGGAAAGTCGACTTTTTTGGCTGAGCTGTTCCTGCCCCGGGTACCCTCCTGCCCCTACTTGTACCTATGGTCTCCTTAGAAGGCTCACAGCTGTGGTCTTGTTGTAGACCACAAAAAGATGGCAACCTGCCACCTGACATTTTGTCAGGGGTTTCACAGCAAGCCTGCCTCCTCCATGGGGACAGCAACATCTGCCCCATGGGACATGGACAGAGTGGAAGCCCGGAGGGGCTTATTCTCATACGCCTCAGCGAGCTTCTGCCAAATGCATAGAATTGGGGAAAAAAGACAAGGGGTGAGGACAGGGAGAGGCTTCCTGTGTCACAGACAGGAAAGAGCAGTTTTGTGAATGCAAACGTACCTCCTGAATGTTGCATTTGAAAAAATGATTTGGAAAACTTGTCTTCCGGTAACGTTTATTTTGAATGTTCAAAGCCTTTGTTGAACCCAAGAATTCTCCTTGGAGGACTGTGGGGAAAGATTTCCACAAAGGAAAGGACTAACCACTGACTGACTGGACAGCTATTTCTGCTTTATAAAAGTTCTCTTTGATTTGCACTAGCACTATATGATGCTGTTACATTGACACATGTTGCAGAATTTTCAGATGGCTAGATCACTTTCCAAGAGAGATGCTAAGGTGGACTCGGCTTTTTAGAGATGGAGGCGTCAGGTGGAGTGAGGGAAGGTTGCATCTAACACAGCACATTTGCGTTTCACGTACACCTCGCATTTCAGTTTTGGCCCACCCTGTCTAGAGGTCATTTCTCATTAGACATTTTGGAAACGGTTTCTGAAACAGCAACGGCTGAAATAGAGATACTTCGCCACGGTGGGAACTGGATTTTCTCACTGGTATCACATGGCTTTGCAGCTTTGAACTCCTCGGCCAATTTGTGTGGGTTTATGTAATTGTGTGCGATGAACCTGAAATTGTGTAAAGAACAAAAGGCCAATTTATAGAGGTTTTTTTTCAACTTGTGAAAAGCAGTTTAGCTACATCTGGGTTCTTTTCCCCCCAGGGGCTTATGTTTCAAGGTGATCAAGTGAAGAAAAAACCTGAGCCCATCTGGCTGGGACGGTGGAATTAAGCACAAGGTCACATTCTTGGTGATCACATGGTGGGACAGTGGTGACTTCAGTTGGGGGTGGGGTGTATTACCTTGGGGAGGGGCTGAAAAGCACAAATGATGGGCTTACCCATGCATGTTGGTGGAGAGTGTGCCCACTGGTCTCTGAGTTGGACAGATTTGGACTTCGAGTTGAGGTTGAGGCGAACGGGTTTCGGGAGATTAGCCACCCATCCATGAGAAAACTGCTGAGGCCTGGGGTCAAGGTGGGCTCTGAGACATGCTGATGCTTCAAGGAGAAAGATTTCATCCTACCCTCCTCTCTCCCTAAAAGAAAGCAATATTCTCTTCTGGAACCTCTAGATAATGACATTTTATCCTCACATCAGTAGCATGTAACGACCCCCAGAAATCTGTACTCCATGCAGAAATGTCTCGACAAGAATTCTCTGTGCAGTTGGGTGGTTATTTCAAAATGTTAAGAGGGTGGAAAGAGAAATGGGCACAGAACAAGAAGCTGTCTTAAGAAAAGAGAAACTCTCTTTAAAACAACAATAACCAGTCGGACTCGGTGCCTCAGTCTGTAATCCCGCACCTTGGGAGGCTGAGGTAAGTGGATTGCCTGAACCCATGGGTTCGAGACCTGCCTGGGCAACTTGGTGAGACCTCATCTCTACAATAAATCAAAAAATTAG